CACACACACACACACACACACACACACACACACACACACACACACACACAGAGTAAACAATAAATTGAATTTTAAAAAGAGAAATACATCTTTTCAGGATGGCGGTAGCTGGGTGAACTGGAAATTATAATGTAGGATTAGACCACAGGTAATTTTCATACTGAAGACCTTATATGGTCTTAACGGAGAATGTATTTTAACTAACAAAAATGTAAATAATTTTATAGACTGGATGCTGTTTATGAAGACATTTGTGTCTGGGTATGATTTTAGATGCTATTTCCTTCATTATCCTGGTTGAGAATTAAAGAAACCCAACTCTAAGAACAGGAGTGGTGTCAAGCATCATCAGAAGTGGGGCATGGTGGTGCATGCCCTTAATCCTAGCACTTGGGGGAGGCAGGGGCAGGCGGATCTCTGTGAGTTCGAGGCCAGCCTGCTATCGAGTGAGTTCCAGGACAGCCAAGGTGACACAGAGAAACCCTGCCTCCAAAAAACACCAAAACACAAAAAATGAAAAACAACAACAACAACAACAACAACAACAAAGCACCATCAGAGCTTTTGTCTGCTCCCTGAGGACGATTTTCAGTTCATAAGAAAAAAAAAAGTTCAATTTTCTTTTGTTTCTCATCCATTGCTTATAACATTCATGTATCATTTTTGTCATTTTGTAGACCTCCCAAGAGCAGCTGTCAGGATCTTAAGCAACATGACATTCCTTTTTGTGAGTCTGTCATACACAGCTGAGAGCGCCATTGTCACCGCTTTCATTACCTTCATCCCCAAGTTCATCGAGTCCCAGTTTGGCATCCCCGCTTCCAGTGCCAGCATCTACACTGGTAAGGACTGCCACAGGGCTCCTCCAGCACGTGGTCGTTGTGTCTCTAGGCTGAAGTGGGGAGGAAGTGCAGGCTCACTCCCAGTGTTCACCAGGTGCGCTGCCAGCTCCTGCTGCCCCCAAGTCGGTGAAGGAAAGCCAGGGATGTGCTTTCTGAGATTCTGATTGTATTCGTGTGATACATTTCCTAGCTGTACTTTGAAAGGGTAGAATATTACATATTTATGGATTTGTGGACCTCAGTTAAAATGAAATAAACTGTGAGCTTCACATTTGGATTAGTGTTGATCTTCTTGTGAGTGGACATGGGTCTTAAAATGTTACGTGAAGCTGATGATGTAAAGTCCAAGTCAGTTCCATGGGATCAGAATTTTCCATTCATAAATCTGAATAGATTTCAGTAGGATTACTAGAAATGCATGGTGTTTAAAAGGATGTTTTATGTACTTTATTTTAGATGTTTTATGTCTAGTCAAACAGAGATTTTAGACATCTTTGGTATGTATATTTTCAGGACTTAGCATTCAAATCATATTTGATAGTAAATATGATGGTAATGTAGGAAAACTAGCTCTCAACTATTGGGGAAATTACAGTGTTAAGTCATATTCTAAATCCTTCCTTAGTGATTTCAAAGATGGCCAATCTGCAGAAAGCTTTATTTTTCAATAAAGGGTAATTATTTTTGAATAATAGTAAATTTTTCCATAGCTTTATTTTCCACATTTTCCTATTTCTATGAGCTTGAATTATCTAAAAATGAACAGAAGAAAATATCACTGTAACAAGAGCAATTGATTTGAAATATCTGTGGGCTTGACTGGCAACCAGCCTGTTTGCTTCTTCTTGTATATAGAACTATAGGCGTAAAAATCAGTTGCGTGCCCATGGCTGCAAATTGTTTAATAAATAATATATGGCTACATAGGGTGAAAATGTTTGCTTTCTCTAAAACTGCTCTCCTGTGTCGATGGTGACATTCCCAGATCACATTTCTGTCAGGTTGGCTAACAGAAAGTGGAAGCCCCTCATTCTTAGGTTAACTCTTGCGCAGGGTCTTCTCTGAACAGGGATCCCTGGGCAGGGGAACCTGGAGATGCTGGACTGGACTCCAAGTGAAGAGTACTTTCACACATTCTCTAGGCTTACTTCCGATATGAAAAGGTGTGACTAGGAAGCTGGTTGTAACCCAGCAAATCTGGGGCTTCCTGTGCTAAAGAAAGTGCTACAGGGTCCTCAACACAGGCCTTCTTTTTAGGTCACCGTCCCTATGTCAGCTTGCACCGTGAGCCTCTCAGAGGCTGTGTTTCTCCAGGCTTATTTGACTATGAAGCTCAACTTTTTATTTACTCATCAAGATACACATCTTTATTTATTTATTTAATTTTTTAATTTGTGTATGTGTGTGACATTATCTCAGTATTTTATTTCATTTCTTTTCAAACTGATCTCACTGTGAAACCTGGGATGATCTGGAATTTGGGATCCCACTGCCTCGGTCTCTACATGCAGAGATTATCTACGTGAGCCATTATATCTCACAGAAACCTGTCTTTCCGACGAACAGTTTTCCTTTGGTTAAATGCGGGGATTCGGTCATGGGGATTCAATCGAATTCCAGCCACACTAAACCGTCCAGAGCTGTCTAGGTCATCCCGTGGCCGCCACGTGCAGTTTTCACGGCAGGGCTCCAGGGCAGGGCGGCTGAAGGGGCTGTGGACGGATGGGGCCATCTCTGAGTACGGGTCGAGCAGAGACTAACTAGACAACTCTTTGAGGAAAACTGGAGGAAGAAGTTCAGTGGGATCTGAAGGTTTGGGTGTGGCATTCCCCAGCGACAGGGTCGAGACGCCTGTGTAAATGAGGCTGTGTCCCCCTTAGCCCACGCTAGAACTCCGGGATGAGAGAAGGCACGTGACAAGGTGAGATTCCATTCTGGTTGCAGCATTCATCAGGATCCGTCCGTTGTCACCAACAGTTCTGTGTTTCAAAACCTCGGTCAGGGCTTCTCGGTTTCATAGTCCGCTGTGCTTTCCAGTGACTCCAGCACT